AAAACTCTCTTTTCCCCCTTTTAAGCGCCGACAGGACCCTTGGAGATCGTCACCACCTCAAACGAGTTACAGCCGAAGCAACTTCTCATTGTCGGGTACAACCCTCGAAGGGCAAGAATGCCTTTAAGGCAACACTCTTAAGAACTCACCTCAAATCTCAGAAAACAACACCTATATAAAGAAGGATTAGTAGATAAAATAAGAAAAGAGTATTAGGAAACAGATATAATAAGCAATGTGAGGTCTAGGAAAGAGGTAGAGAAAAAGTAATTATAATAGGAAAGCATCAGGAAAGGAAAGTAAAGAAATGAAAGGGATTAAATAAGAAAAGAGGACCGTGGTTATTGTAGCACCTACAGAAATGCGTGCACGGTACTGTAGCTGCTACAGTACCGCAGGCAATAAACTCCCGCGTTAGTGAAGAAATGTCAATTACACAAATTTAAGAATTTTAAGATCTACTTTGGATTAAGGATAGGTGAAGTAAAGAAAGGGTTGCTTTATTTGACCCTGTATTCACATTACATATTTTTATTTCACTTATTTAATCTAGTTAAAAAATCATGAAGTCCCACATGAGAGTTATGAATATTATTGTAGTCATATCCTGAATATGAGTTACTTGAGGGCAAATAATAGGTAATTTTGAGAGAATTGATGCGATGGTAAATTTACGTTATTTCATCGCATTTTATTCTGCATTTATATCCCTATTTATCACAGATTTATGCCTGTAGAAGGTTATTTTGGTGTTTTCCAGATTAAGTGGCTAAAACGCACATTTCAGAGTGAGAAAACGACATCTTCCAAGACACCATCATGGCGTGACCACACCCAAAAGCGGCATAATTATGTTGTTTGCTTTGTATGAGTGGGGTAGTTATGCCAGATTTGGTTTTGTCTACACTGATTACAGCTTAACAATGTTGTATTCGGGCGTGGTCACACTGCTTCTTCAACCTAGCAGGCATGGCTACATCGGATTTGGACACAGTAATTTTCTTTCAAATTTTAAGGTACGGCAACAACCATCGGACGATGGTCTGGATATAGCTTTTCCTTAAGATTTTAAGCAAGCACTTTTTTTAACTCATGGAGAATGTAATAAAGCAGCCCATTTTTGTGTGAGGCATGCTTTGGATATATCTTTTGTTTGGTATAGTCACACTTGTGACCCCGATTTTTTTAGCGTGGTTGAGGAAGATGCCAACCATGTTGTTTCTTTAGTGCAGCTTTCTTAGCTCCCTTCTGTACGTTTTGATTTTACTTTTTTAATGCAAAGTTCACACCTTTCAAGGGTTTGGACGTAGTTACGCCGCTGCATCTTCTCTACATGAAAAGAGCTCCTCTTGCTAAATTGGGGCATGGGCTACAAGAGGAAGTGTTACGACGCATCTCAAGGAATCTTTGGCTGGTGGAGGCTAAATTTAGAGAGAACTTTGGAGAGTTTTAGGGTTCCTTTAAGACTTCCTCTTGCTTTCCCCAGGGAGAAAACTAAAGAGTTTTTTTTTTCTCTTCTTTCCCCTCTTGTTTCATATTTTCTTTGAAAGATTTTGCATAAGAGGAAGATCTACTGCCGTTGAGGAGAAGATAATCTTGGTTGTAAGTCATTTTTTACATTGTAATGTTGCTTGTATTGTTGATTTCAATAGATTGCCTTGTGTTGTTTTATTTCTCCATTAGTAGCCAAATCTTTTTTGTGCCTCTGTGATGTAGGGATAGTAATTTTTTTCATGATTTTCTCATATGTTTTCCTCTTAATGTTCTCTAAACTTTTCAAGTATCCAAGTAGTTGGTTAACCTTCTAGATTTCATTTACTACTGATCAGGCCAATTAAGATATTAACATTTGTCGTGAAATATGACTTATGTTTGTCGCGTAGTGGAACAATTACGTTAATCACAAAAACCTAGTCGAATAGGAAAATTCTAGTTAGAGTTTTACAACCTAGATAGGAGATTGGAAGAATCTTTGAAAGCATTATAAGGTTAAGGGAAACTTAACCTTATGGGTTTTTTATTCTTCCTCTAACCTACGCATAGGATTGAGGAGCAAACATCATCCCTGGTTGATAGGGAAAACCAAGAATAATCACGGAATAAAACTCCACCCGAGTCACAAAGAAATGAACCTCATCTCTCTGGAAGAACATTAAGAGCTTTTGTTTTTTATTTTCCAAGATCTTGATTTCATTTTATGATTTTTGTTTAGATATTAGGATTTGTCCTCTAAAAATTGTGATCGCACTGAGCTAGGTGTCTGAATTAAGTAAACTAGAAATTTTTCAATCAGAATAATCATTAGTCATTTTCCTTATGAGATCGATATGCAGACTCTTATACCGCATATTATCTGACATATATATCTGCATGATTGACCAGCTTACCGCACAACAGTTTTCGGCCATCAAGTATCCATAAGTAAAACATGATAATTTAATTTATATTATGTTCAAAAATGAAAAAAAAAATGACTGGAGGGTTGTCTGGCCGAAAGAAAAAGGAGTGCAATGTATTTTCTTGAAAAGAGTTCTAAAAATTCAATCATTTGATTGGTACAAAAACAAATGAAGTGTAAAATTTTTATGCACGTGAAATTCACTATCTAGTTCATTTTCAATGTATTTGGAATTTATTTGATTTGAGAGAATTCCAAATGCAACACTTTGGTAAAGTGTTGTCCTCAGCCGCCTACCCCTTGCAGCCACCGGTGACCGCACGCCTACACGCTTGCCCATCTACCGCCGCATCTACCTCCTTTCGCAGTTATCAGACATTTGTCATCGCTATCCATTGCATGTCATCACTAACCTTAAGAGGCTTATTTTACATTGAATTCATTTTTCTTCATACTAAATATAAAAATGTAAAATCATGTATTTATTTTACATCGAAACAAGCAATTCAAATAGGGTATTTGGTAGCAAATTTTAATAGGAGTTATAATCAAATTTATTAAATCCAGTCAAACACTAAAACACACGAGTTTCGTAGATTTATGAATTTTTTTATTTAGCGACATATTTTTTCCTTTGAATCTACTTAAATCAAGATTTACTAAACGCAGGGGCAGGGTGAACATAACAAAGTTAAGAAACGCTTAATCCTACTTGCAACCAAACGTCCACTAGGATATTCCAAATACAATACATTACTTTAAGATTGCATTCCCCTTTTCAGCAAATCAAAAGTTTAAATTTTAGATTAAAATTAATACAAAAAATTACAGCACCAAAAAAACAAGCATTCAAAAATTTGTGATCCTACTTCCATGCAGTTATTGATAACTACAAGAGTTAGTAATAGAAATTCATAAGAAAATTATCATCAATTAATCAAATCCAAAGTTAACTTGCCCTTTGATGCAAATGTTTAAATAACAATATGCAGGCGCTGAGACAAACATAATGAAATTTTAAGTATGGAACTTGCTTTTGTTATTTTTATTTCATAGTTTTGATTTTATACAGATTAAACATACCTATGATAATGATCCCAATAAAGAATGGATGTTGTTATCTAATCGGTTCACTGTTAGCACTTTGGTTCAGCAATTGGTTCACTATTTACTTCCTTTCAGCAGCTAGTCTTTGGTCCTCTATGTCTGCTGTCCTAGTGGTTGTCGATCCGGCAGTTAGAAATTGCTGCTTCAATGCTTCCTTGAATTGCAACTTGTACATTTTGATCTAGTAGTAGGAGTCAATGTTTTGGAAGGCTACAATCACTAATTTGCATCTTTTAAATTCAAGTACTATAGTGGGATTACAGTAATCACAGTTTTATTACCATTCCACACTGGCACTGTAGCACCTATGAGATTTGTAGCTAGAATTCTAGCAAACACTTATTTTTCTCTCAAACTTTAGAAGCAATGGTTTGAAATAAATTTTATGACTAAGGAGCAAGTATTGATTTATAAGTTCTAAGAAAATCCTTTCACATGGAAATGAGTTAAGGATCTTACTACAAACCCATTTCACTGTTACAATTCATCGACATAGTTTGTGACTGGTTTATGTGTGATTTGATTTGATCAAACTTATGACAATCTAGATTTGATCTAACTTATGACAATCCGGATTTTATTAAGGTGGCATAATCATTATCATTGTGTATTTTTATTAATCACAAATTTCAAGCTAAAATTTCTACCTGGGTGGATCATTACTTTATTATTGTTAATATATTCTATAAATCCTATAAGTTTCATCAAAGAGGAAATTTTTTGCCAAAATTAAAGTTTATAGAGTGCGAACTGGCCATTTGGCCGTAATTTTGAACAACATAGATTTGCACAAGAAAACCCATGCACTAGGACATTCTCACATTTGATTTGATATACAGATTAAAATTGCAACATTATGTCAACTAGAAATAGGACATATTAATTAGGTCAACTAATAAAATAAAAAGTAATGCAATGTAGATGAAACCATGTCAGTTTGGATTCTAAACAACCATAACATAAAAATTTTATAGCGAGCACTCGGAAAGCAGCATTATTCAAATTACAGAAATTCTATGGGGAACTATCGGAACGTTTTCATACTATCTTCAACAGAATTACATAAAAAGAAACAGCTACATAGGATAACTATTACTCATGGTCATGCTAATTCATCATTTTTGGATCAAGGACTTGAATCCTAATTGATTTTGGAAAATCAATCAAAATAACAAATTCCAAAAGTACTCTGAAAACATAAAAACAACATTCAGTAAATAATCTGGCTTAACCTAACAAATGCTTTCATTACACACAACTGAAAACCAACCTTCCACCAAATAATGTTGCCAGCCATCCTCCAGGCAATTGACTCAAGGCATATCCCCAAAAGAATGAAGACTGAACTAGACCAGCAGTGGAAGAGCTCCACCCAAACTGATGTGACATAGGAATTATGGCGACACTCAAGTTAACCTGATACAAGACAATAAATTGTATAAAACAAGAATTTACAAAGAATAGAATAATATAATAGAACAATGACAAGTGAACGTTTATGCACAGAATACATCAAATAAAAAATAAAATAGACTAAAAGAGCATAAGAATCTGTTAAAAAAATTTTAAACGGAAAAGCAGGCTGGTTTGTACCACAATCAGTGTCAAATAGCAACAAATGCCCATCTACATTAATGAATCAAAACCAAGTCTGACATAAAGCAAAGATGAAAGCGCAAACATTAGCTGTATACAATTATCCAAAATAATATAAGGAACAGCATACCATGTAGGAGTAAAGCCCTCAAAATAAATGTCATATATCATTACAATGAATGCAAAGAAATATAATATCATCAAAAATTTAAATCTAAACTCCACATGCCTCAACATGAATTCTAAAATCAGAACAAGCTATGTTGTGTGCATCCATGAACTACAAGAAAGCATTCATTTATTCTGATGCTTATTCATCTTAACTGATTTGGTTTTATTTTAATATATTGATGAATAATTTTGATGATTTGATAAATAATTTTGATGATAATTCAATCAATTTAACAGAGAAAGGGCTGAAAATATTTGATATGCTACTAAAGAAGGCAGTTTGTTACATGACGAAATTCAATGAGGAATGTTTCAAGGTAATTAAAGTGAAAAACCTGCAGAATTTTTTTCCTCACGATCCTACCAAGAAAGTTCGTATTAGATCTATTACCACATAAAATCAAGTTGATAAGAAAAACATATAATGCCAGATCCACCATACGCAGACGTAGCACTACAAATGTCAAATATATCTTTAGCCTACAAAGGTCTTGTCCAATGTCATCCACCCTTTCCAATAAATTCTTCAGAATGCCACCTCCAAGACTGAGCTTTAGATCAGTTTCTGAAACATTGGGGCAAACCAGCTCCGCCAAATAATTCTAATTAAAAAGGAAAGATAAAAAGTATGTTTTTCCAACATGCTGAAACCTAGCGACCCCCAACGGTGGAGCTAGAATTTCTTTTTAGTGAGGGCACAAGTTAAGAATTTTAAAAATACTTTCAATCTACCTTACTTTCTTTTAAATATTGTATATAACTAAAATAAAAAGCTAGTGAAAATATTTAAAATAATTAAAAATTATCTTAAGAGTGATTGTAGACTGTAACGAGAAATCATAAATTCATTTCACATTCTAAGTATTCTCTTTTCTTTTTTGGCATCAAAATTATAATGAAGAATAATGGAGTGAAATTTTATTATAAGTTCTCAAAAGTACAAATTCCATTTATACAGCCCTTGAATATAAAGCATAACTCACATCAATACAATAAATGGCTACACCAACAACAACAACAAAGCCTTCCTCCCACTACGTGGGGTCGGCTACATGAACCCTTTTTTTCCATTGCATCCTATTTAGTGTCATATTTTCATTTAGTTCTAGTAAAATAATATCATATTTTATACAATAAGCCCAAGTCTTCCCAGGTCTACCTCTGCCTTTCTTAAAACAAGTAGAATCTAAAACATCTACTCTTCTAATCGAATCATCAGATGGTCGACGTTTAATGTGACCAAACCATCTAAGACGACTTTCTCTAATTTTTTCTGTCACAGGAGCTACACCAACCGTATTACGGATATATTCATTTCGCATTTTGTCTCTAAGTGTAAAGTCACTCATCCGCCTAATTATTCTCATCTCGACGACACTTAACTTATTATTATGCTTCTCTTTTAAAGGCCAACATTCAGCGCCATAGAGCATTGCAGGTCTCACCACCGTCTTATAAAATTTTCCTTTCAGTCTTAGCGGTACTTTTCTATCACACAAAAGGCCCGAAGCATTCCTCCATTTCAACCAAACAACTTGAATTCTACTATTAACATTTTCATCTATATCACCATTGCTTTGAACAACGAACCCAAGATATCTAAATCATTCACACCTTTTAATAATTCCTTTTAATAATTTCACACTGATCACCCAAAGTC